GTGAAGGTGCACAGTTTTACAAACGAAGCCGCACATCGAAACATACATATAATATTAAAAGCGTAATCCGTTTCAAAAACTAAATTCCAGCAGTCAGGAGGGAATTGGACCTTCTGTTTGTAGCTTTGCAGCTTCTCGAGCTCCACAAACCCAGCAACTCTGAATTCGTTAGGGAAAAATAAGCTGATCTTATGGCCCTTTCATTTTTACTCAGGGCTACCCTTGACTAGAACTGTATATCACGACCTTAGATCAAATGAAGAAACACGAAAAAAGAGTAATTTTCGTTTTAAAGCCATGGACCGCTTATCGAATAGGGTCCTGACTTGAAGTCAGCATTAAAGTACATTGATGCTCAAGCATGAGTGTATAGTGAGCACTGGAATAGCCTGAAGAAGTTATCTGACTGTCGTTAGTCAAGGAAAGCAAACAACCGAAAAATCGAAGGCCGCAGAGAAATAAGATCTTGCCACGTTATTATATATGAAACTATTTTTTAACCTAGCTATATCTACTACTATCTGACTGTCTGGATCTTAATGGGTCGGAATAACGTAGAAAAAATTTGCTCAAAAATTTTTATAATTCTGAAGACGAGACCTTTTCTGGTAATTTATTATCCCAATGCAGCGTTACATGGTAGATTTCTATACGTGTTAAACAATAAATACCGAAGCTTTTCGATTTTTATGCTGAAGCCCATTCCTCGTAGCTAATCGAGAAGGATAAATCTTATGGAGTGTTCGTCTCAGACAATACGCTAGATAAGGTAACACAAAAAGTTACACTAACTGGTTACGTATCAATAGTACAATTTTCTGATAGGTTTGCTTAGATATAGATAGTTATGCTATGACTGATATCGAATCATTAATATAATGAGATCATATTATGATCAAGATGTCTGGCCTATCGTTCTTCCATAGTCCTGCAGGTAATAGCTGTATCCAAAGTCTGTTTGACTACGGTATAAATTACGCTCGAAGTCGCAACTTCAACTTGCTGGTATTTGACGTAAGTAATCTTAGCTTCATATCTGTGCAACAGATAGATGGTAAAAAAAAATCTTTATTTTTAAGACTTCCTACACTCCGGATGCGCAATTTCAACTATATTTTTCGAACATGAAAATCAGGTGTTATGAAAAAACTCGAAGGTATAGCGTTTTTTTTACAAAGATGGTGTATCAAGGACCGGTCTACCTAAGCAGAACCAATGTTCAAGTTGACTGACAGAAAGCCAGGGTAATTAGCAGTCGAAGATATCAACTTCATTCAGAACGCCTGTTAGCGCTAACGAGATACTCCAGTTTCTGTCTTCACTTAGATCTAGAGGCGTCGTTCGTATTATAAGTTGTAAGAAAAGAGCTACAAGGAGAACACACGCGTATTGGATCAGAAGCTATTTATGTCTGAGTAGAAGCACGATAAGCCGAAAAAGCAAAAAGTAATAAGGCCAGAAAGGGGAAAGGAAAGATAGAGGGGAAACTTTAATAGCTTGAAATTGAAGCGCAGACGAGAGCAAAGCTTAAAGTAACAGAGTTATTGCCCTAAGGGATCGCCCGCGGTGCGATCTACCGTAAAACCAGCTAGAAGCTTAGGGGTTCACTTCGATCTACGGAGATTGGATACGTACTGCAACGGGTTATTCTAACTGTATATCTGAAACGCCTGTGGTAAGGGCAACATATTACTTGCTTACAGCTCTTATTCTGCATAAAAATGCACGGCATTTTTGAACATCTTTATAAACTCAACAGAAAGATTTACTTTTTCTACCATCTGTATGTTCCGTTTTTCTTAATGATCTCTGTTCGCTATGGGTGCTTTAATACCCGACCAACTTAACTAATGTTGGTTGTATGCTGATATGCAATAATGCCAATTTCTGCTGTTACCATGGTATCCGCCTCTGTTTCACAATCTTTGCTATCACAGCCCGTTTACATACACCCGGGGGTACTGATCGGCGACTACCTACAAGGCTACCCACAAGGCTATTTTGTTTCAAAGCCGGCATACTTGGTCATGACGCCTTCTGCGTTCATATGTTCGCCTCAACTAGTCCCAACTAGGACCACGCACATGTACATTTCGTTTTTGCAGACGCACAATTTTGAGGCAAGTTGTCATTTACTACTTGTCGCCAGCTTTGGGCATTACAACGAGTCGGACACACGGATGTTCATACATACAGACCGACCAACATTCACCATTTCCCTCGCTCAGTAGTCACTCGCTCGAGACTCGCTGACGGGGAAAACGGAGTTCCAAAGTGCTCCCAGTCGCTACCATGGCTCCTTTCTTCGTACCAAAGAAATTTTCCGAATCATTGTCGGTGCGAAATTGCACACTTGCCAAATACCACCATCGCTCGACGCAGCCGGCGTCAGTGCCGCTGTCGCTCGCGCGGCTGCTGCCTCAGAGAGCGAAATTGCCAGAGCTGGTCCTGCACCTGGCGCAATGTATCTCCCGCCAGGAAAGAGATGGCATGTTGGCTACCCTCGGCTCTGGTATCGTCGTTTTGGCATTCCGCAGAGCGGCGAATGGCGTGGCCCTACAGCGGTGCAGTGGAGATAGCTCGCCTTCATCCAACTTGCGGATTGGGTAGTTTTCTGCTGCCTAGTGCCGCCTACCAACGCTTGATGGCCTGTACATCTCAGGCAGAGGCGACGTCATGATGACGATGGTGATGATATGCGATGTGGCGATGATCTAGCTCATGGTCGATGCTCAATGTTTCTCGGATCGTTCGCCTACCAGACTGGGATCTCGAGCGTCGCACACTTATCGTTCAGCCAACAAGGCAGAGCACCAAAGAAACAAATCGTGGAAAATATATAGAATAAACAAGTCAGGATTTGATCCTGAAGACTTGGTCAGACGAGTTGAATTCCAGACCAGCGCAATTGCACCTGGCGGGATATTATTATTATTATTAGTAGTTTCGAATAGTGCCATTGGTCTCGTGACTCGTAGTTGGTATGTAATATTATGTGATGCTTTTACGTTTTGTTACTATATCAGCCAGGACTTTCGGTGGATCTACTCGGCCTCTGCACGAGAACAGCAACAAAGTCGCTCAAGATGGAAGAGGATAAAAGGCCAGGAGGAAGCTTGTGACGACGATTATAGAGGCAATTCCACGTTGCCTTGCACTCACTGCAAGCCTGCACGCTCGCTTCAAAATAATGAGTCTAGTTCAAAGGGCAAAAACTCAACGGAAGGAAATTCAAATCAGTCTGAGGAGATGCAATTATTGTATTAAATCTCGGTGGGGTTATACTTGGCTCGGAGATATTGGACTACAACTAATATTTTTGAAGTTTCTCTGGTACTTCGTAAACGAATTCTCTTCTTACTCCATCTTCAGTTTGTTTTGTTCTAGTAGGAGCAGGCATTCCTTTAATACGAAGGACAGCTAAGTACTGTGGGCCTGCTACGAAAAACAGCCTATCAAATGTGTCACAACTTCTTCCCTCTATATATATATATATATATATATATATATATATACATATATGAGTTCAGGCGAATCGCTGTAGGAGGGCAATTTTGTACTATGAATCTGCAGAGCATCGTCTCGAACACGAAGATAAAGTGAACGAGAAGGCCACGAAGTCAGAAGTCCGATATCCCGGGACTCGGTTGCTGTGTCGTCAGCTCGGATTGTGCGACTGTATCAGATTGAAAGGCGCTCTTCGTTTCTTTTTCATTGGTACGATCCTTGTTACACTTCTCGCAATAGCAGATGACCTGAGAAGGTCATCAATTTCGACCCTCGTTAACGCAATTGTCTGTCTGTATGGTGAAACTTGTCGCCTTGAAATGTTCGAGCTTTCCCGGTCCCTACTTTGCAGAAAAGCGCATTGCGAGAATTCAGAAGTGAGACAAAAAAGTAGTACAAACAGAAAAAAGCGATAAAACACTAACTATCTGGGTCACACTTTTGAGTATACCAACCAGTTTAGAACGAAACACATAATTTGAAGCAGTGAGAACTAGAAAGAGTGAAAGCTACAAAGAACGATACTTGCCTTATTATGAATTATGATGAAGGAAAGATGCACATACGAGACGTTCATTTAATCATGTATATATCAGCATTAAAAACAAATTAATAAAAAAAAAAAACACGTATATGAAAAAGCACAGCAAAACTTTACTAAGCGTGAATGCAGCTTCCAGACTGGGCACAAGTATTGCGTAGTCCATTGAGTTCTTGGTTTTTTTAAACAACCTTCTCCTATATTTCAACCAAATGGTTCAGGCAATAAATATTCATTTTTGACAGCAGCTAGTACTGAACAAATAAATCTCGTACCAAACCAACTGCTAGTAATGTTTTCACCAATCTAACACTCATGGAGATTTTGGCCTGCATTGACCTACTCTAGAAAGTCTCACAGCTGAATTTTTATAGATAATAATTGATATTTTTTCTAAACATTTTCAGAATAGAGACGACCTTTTTATGTTAATTATTACTCGCACTTAAATTTCCTCCCCTATGTAGGTACTCGACATAGTTTGAACTGGTTCCAAGAAACAAAATCTGAGCCACTGATTTCTCATACTTTGAAGGACATCTTACTGCCTCGATGAATCACCACTTTTTCTCTTGCGAGTTGGATGCCTTTGACGATCGCTTTGATATGTTCAAAGAAATGTAAAATTGTTCCCGTATCTAGTGCTTATAGTTCACTGTTATGTTTTCTCTCTTTTGACAAAGCCTCTCTAAAAACATATAATTATGTACAGCATAAACCAAATAGCTCCTGCGTGAGCATGTAGTCGCGATCCGGACAAGGCAGGCACTATTGCCAAGAACATATCCCTATCCTCATCAGAAGTAAGCGAAGTTTACCGTGTTCGTTTAGAAACAGACTTCAACCGAGATAGGCCTATGTTCCTAGAATGTGCTCTGTATCTATTCCTGAACGAGATTTAATCGAATGTGTCTGATGTTTAGAGAAAACGAATCAGCTTTATCCTATGGGCTCTGTGTCGCACGCTCCCTATCTTACAGATTCGCATGCTACTCAATACGACAAGCTAGTTAAAGCTCTTCAAATGTTGAGGAAACCTCATTTTCCCGTGGCTGTTAGTTTTGTATAAGCCTAATATTCGTTGTAGCAAATTGGAGCGTATTTAAAAATGCGTTCAGACCGCAACGGCCGCTGCACGTGTTCACCCACTAAGGTAAACAAAGTCGCGATTCAAACTGCTATAGCGCACCACCACGACCCCCGCTTTGCAGGGAAGTGCAGTACTTACCCAGTAATCTTGCTGTAGACTACAGACACCAAATAAGATGATCCTACAGTGGGGTAGTACGACTATAGACGATGGCGCCATACTGAGGATTGATCCGTTTGTCCGTGGTTTGAAAGGATATTTTCGAGTGGACCTGCTAAAGCATGCTCATTGGCAAGAAAGGTGTTGTTCATTCCACTCGGTCTGCATCGGCTAAAGGGAGCAATGGGTTATTCTTCGTTGATTTTTTTGCATTCCTTGCTGATCTACTGCGTCATGCAGAGTGCCAACGCCAGCCACCTAAACAGTAAGTAGACAGGCCTTTCCTTCGTGTGACAATGTCCTTGTGTAGTGCATATACAGTGTAAAATAGGTAAACTGGGATATCTATCTTCATTTTAAAGAATGGAAAAATGCTTAAATTTGTTTGGCGAAAATCTTACAGTTATCAAGTGACGCTTGATTATGTTAGTGCCTCATGGCGCGGGCTTGTAAGTGCCCTGTCATGCCTTGTATATATATATATATATATATGTATGTATATTACAATTATAGAATATATTATAATTATATATGTATCCATATGAGCAGCGATAGTTTCAAATCCACCAGAAGGCAAATATGCACTTCTGCATTTTACTTGTCGCGATGCTATCGTAGGCTGTATAAAAGTCCATGTACAACTGGATGTGACATTAGACGAATTGATCTCAATGGGAGGCCACAATGAGTAAAATAGAACTATTTCTTTGACGGCTTGACGCGACTCTTAGTTTACCTTAAAGACCTATCTAGTTTGGGACGATAGTATGACCTATAAAGGTAAGTCATTCTAGCTGTAAAAATCCGCCTTGTTTTGCTAAATAGCTTTGGGTGTCTTCGAAAGTAGCGATTGACAACCGCCGCTGGAAAGCACTGTACGGATTTTTATGGTATTATCGTCTTATAAAAAGGTATTCTCAAGGTACCTGTTTGTTCGGTGCAGCTGCACAAGTTTCTTATCCCTATATCGTTTCAAATATGTACCTATCGTTATCGGTATAAAGGATAATATTACGGTCTGCAGCAATAACGCCAAGAAAGCAATTGCAAGAGCGTCCATTGTTTACCGTACGTTTGATTTTGGTAGCCCTTTCTATCCTTAATAGAGCTTAAGTTAATGTCACATTTACAGACGAACTCTTCCATCGTGTACGTTTCTTCCATCGTACACTTCGGCTAAAATGTCTACGAATGAATAATGAACGATTTAAAATCAATTAATCAACAGAAAAATCCCTCTGACAATCAGCTTAAGGTTAATGCTGCATCAGGGGGCGAGGCCGAGGGGTCGCATTTTGTTCCCTATTCGTAGCAGGCGTGAGGCAAGCGGCAGCCAAAAGACCTTGCTTGTACTAGAACCCTCCGTTCGCCAGTGGGATACACGAACCGTTACACCTAATTTAAATTTAATTGTTAAAAAGTAATTTTCTTTCTATTGAACAGTTGCTGAGTAATCTTACAACTGATTTACCGGTTTTTTTTTTCCTACACGAAACTCCGTCATGCGGTATTTTAAGCAGAAAACGAATGATTACTAGTAAGTCTATATGGCTAGTGACAGGTCTACGTCTCGGTCGAACACCTCTCTGCCTCTATCCCCCGTCCGGTTTGTCGCTTACGACTCGCCACGCGTTATGTACAAATTTAAAGCTTTTTTTTTTTTTTCCCGTAAAGCTGTTGCCAGTGGTTTGTTCGGCGTGCCACAATGATACGATTGTAGACGTCAACTACGCATATCTTGAGTGACAACGAGTAGTTTTTGTGATCTCCAATTCAAGCATCTGATGCCATGCTAGAATTTGCTAGAGTCAATGATGAAAATTAAGAAAAACAACAGAGGTACAACGAAAAAACAACCCGAATATTTTAGACAGAATCAGAAGTTTACAGATAGAATATCGAGCGTGAAAGAGGTCTAAAATTTCGCGGGAACTTTCCCCAACTCGGTACAAGTATGATCAATCCAGAACTCTGAAGTTTTAGACGTCTTCAGGCTGCAAAATTGCTCATTGAATACAATACACGTTGACTTCAAAAGACTTACGAGCTTAGAATTACAAGAGCGTAATTTTAATTTTACATATTTAAAATAGGGTGAGTTGCGGCTACTTAAATCGTGCTATTATCAATATATAGTTTCGCTAGAAATCTAGAGATTCTCCTAGAGAGCATTTTCGCCGCCATTTTGTGTAAACAATTATTTAAGGTGCTGCAAAAAGTGATTTTCTATATTTATGTAATAAAGCTACACAAATGCTCACGATTCATAAAAGTTCCGTACGGTACGAATCCCTTGATATACGACCTTTGTTACTTGTACAAATAAATATGTAGAGGTAACTGCCATAGTTGAATAGTAACACTTACTACTCATCTAAACATTTTTATATGGTCTATTTAGTCAACATTTGACCCTTAAATAGGTCATATATAATCTTCTAACAGCGTTAACCTGACATCGATTATTTACTAACGACAAACTCCTTCGGAGACCGCAAACATTGTATTAGTAAGTAAAGTGATAATCGGTTCGTCTGGGTTCCCATTCCAGTCGCAGCAAACAATAAGCCATTCTACTAACATTGGGAGATTATTAAGGCGTACGTTCCAAACGCCAGTATACTCAGTTCATGACCTTTGAAGAACGCCGGCGCCGAAGTCGTAAGACTATTTGACTGTCATATGTACCCATCTAAGTGCTTTGTTGGCATCGCTATTGTTCTCTAGTGCAAGAGCGCATGGTATAGGTCTCACGAGTAACTCGATGATCTGAAATTGCCATTCGAAGACCTGTGTCGAGATTTTTTTCTTTGACTGATCAAGTAAGTGGCCCGCGTACTTAGATTCCGTTTAGCGTAGATATTTATAGACATTGAAATAAAACAGTGGTTTTAAGCTCGGACTATTATATTTACTCGTCGAATGTGCTGTATTCACCACAGCAGAGCGGCCTGTACGGCTGGTCAGAGCTCGAACCTGGCATGGGTCGATCTTTCTGTGATTTTTTTTGTTGTATTTGGAGAGGACCAAAAGTGGACGTATCTTCTATGCATGAACTACAATCGAGCGTCGCATCTAATCAGTCTTTTTCCCAATAGCCTATTGTGTTTCAACGCTAGAATGCATGGTAAGGTGCAGCTCGAATCTAGATGACGTTGATTTAGGCTTTTCGGCGTGCCATTGTCTCATTACAGTTGAGGTAAAGCGGAGTTAGCTGTAGTCAGTCGACGAGGGATATGGGTTGGTGTTTACTGGATCACATCTTCGCAGTGCTATCGGCGGCGTAGTGACCTGAACTGCACCTGTGAACGGTTTGGGTAAAGCGACCCAACCCATTTTAGTGTTGGTCAGGGCTAATGCGCGTGCTATAGGTAACGTTGTGATCTCTTCTTTCGTTTCAAAGGAATAGTGCTAGCCAATTGCGTTAACTTTTTATTGAACAGCAATAGCATATTTATACTTCATTGTCGTGTAACGTTTCTTTTAAGTATGAACATATCGATGGCTAAGCAATAAAAACGAAGCTAAACTAACAGATGTGTACAATTTCCATGTATTTTAGAGTGACAAACATAGCTCAAACAGATTATACGCGAGCGTGCAAGTGGTAATTTATAATAACAATATATAATCAAATGTAAAACGAGCTATTATTTTGTAGAAAGTCAACATAGAACTCTTCTACTATTTCTTAGTTTGACGGGGAAAACGCTGCAAGTATTAACGAAGCTCTTGTCCGACCATGCGTCAAAAAAGTTTAGATGCCTCTTTTACCTAGACCGGTCCATGTTAGTCAGGTCAGAACAGGACTATTGGTAAGCAGCAATGTCTAAAATGCTATCGAATTGTACTGTCTTTGGCGGGATCGGGCCCAAAAAGGGGATGATCATTACCCATTTCAACGAATTCAGCTTCTCCGAAGCGACAAACAATCGATTGAACGAGTGTTCTTTACCCGTAACAGAAGGAGAAACTCGCGGCAAGTACGATTCCGATAGCTACTATATACCCTACAATCGATTTTACCGGTAGGAGCAGTAGATAAATTTATTTAAAATTTTCCGAATAACGCTCGTAACCAACCGTTCGATCATCAGCCATCGCGTAGAAAATAGTACTCCTGCAGACAGATGCAGTATGCGGCCGTGTGCAGTAGCTGCGTTGTCTGTATACGTAGTGTATATTTAGCGGCAATAAACGCTAAACCGTAGATACCATAAACATGCAATGATCAGGCTCCCTTAGCACACACACTACGAGCGGTACCGGTATATTTAGCCTAAAAATATTCAATGCACTGTCGAGGTCCAGTGAAAGATCCATCGATACATTCGAAACAAATTGCAATCTTTTATACTAGCATAGTTCACTTTCTTCCTCCGGAAAGGGTTAGGAACTATCGGATTATGCAGAGCAGATTCCACCGTTAAGATGCTGTGGAACTCCCACCCACCAAATCCTGCACTCCGCATCCCTGATTTTTGGCCATAAAACTGGTCCATATATTATAAACTTCATCCTACGTGTACATTTTTATAAAAAAAAACACGTCTACATTTCATTATCGTACCAGTAGATTTTCACGAACCTTATAAACAAAGAAAATAAGCAAGATGTAAAAAGAGTATAGCTTAAACGTATAATAAAGTATGCAACCTGAACATTTGTGTCACCTACAAGCTTCTTCGCAATGATTCGTTCGCGGCTTTGTCAGGGTATTATGTCAGCATACTGAACGTCAGCATTGTTCCTAAAAAAAAAAAATCCAGCCTACTTATCTTAATTTTCTATTTTGTTGTTCTGTGTATGTACGTTTTCAACCACAATTCGCTATAGCTATCTGCGAGTACGCGTGTCTAAATTCAGTCCATCACAGCGCATGTGACAACGTTTGCAAGACAAGTCACTGCGGCCTAACAAGGCTAGATGAGAGCGGCAGACTACCGTTTGACATTTGTTTATCCGAACGCGCCTTGATCATCTTTACCGATGTAGAGGCTTCTACGATTATAGTATCCATACTTTACGAGTCATGATCTCCACGACGCATAAACTTACGAGTTATGTTCATCGAAGATCAGCGGCCTGTACCGAAGCAGCAGCAGCTTATAGATGATATGCAACCGTACGGCCGTTCGGACGCTGTACCGGCGCCTAAATGCCCGCATGGCTCTGTTTTATCTGGGGCTAATTTCCGATTCTTGAGGGAAACGCAGCGACCTCATCAAGTCTTATTGACCGCGTTTCCGCTCCCATTCTTCTGAGTGTTATGTCTTAATTATTATTAACCTATGGGTCGTAAGCGTAATAGAATTAGCGATCGTAAGCATTCGAACAACACTCGTAACGGTGTTGTGTTCGATTCAGAAAAATAAAATGTATAGAGCTAAATTCGCTGAACGCAGAACTTACTAAACGTTTGTCTATATTTACATATGGCAAGTACTGTATATGAACCCCTATTTAGTACCGTAGTCTAACTTATTTTGGAGGGCAGTAGTCGCATGACAACGTGTGTGTGTTTGTATCGAATCGATTTGCACGATCAGGTCGGTGAGAGTATTTCGAAAACCCCCGCGTCAGGGACGAACGCTCGCGTTCTGAGCAACTCACGCCGGTATAATTATTCCGAATGGATCGAATAACGATATCCAATGCGCCAACCATTATATACTAACTAAAAGTATGTGTTTCTTCCGCCCTAAGCTGATCCGACGCTCGTCCTTCAAAGACTACTCGATTAGTGGATGCATACGTTTAGTACGATGTCTGCTCGGTTATATCGTCCAATACAGTTATGCTTTATTGTCGTATATATTTGCAGGGAAGATACGTTCGATTAATATGGCACATTCATCTTTATATGTACCCAGCGAAATGATTGTTTTGGCAAATAAAGTTAAGTTGTGTTGACCCTGTCGATTTAGGCGTCAGCGGCCTCGCTTGAGACCAGCGTCGTTCGGATCGGTAGATAATCAATTTCTCCAACTCAGATAAAATGTACCGCCCAACTGAACAGCAGTAGTATTTTGGAAGAGCTATACATATATATAATAATACACTGTTATTTCAAGTAAAACGTATACATTTGGTTACTGCTGTAACTTGCTCTTTATAACTTACAGTTCACAAGTTGGGCGAAAAGAAAAAAGGGCCTTACATTCCATACTTGGCCAAAAATAGGTGCTTCGACCGCTACTAATTGGAAGACATCTTTCTTCAACTGAACTTTCAATAAAAGACGCATAGTAACACATAAAAAGTCCTGTTAAAAGAAAAACAGAGGAATGTCTAGTACTAAATACTGTTGCGTCAATAAGCGAGGCATCGTATAAGCAATTTCAATTGTATAACAAACATAGATCACTTATTAAGTTAATAACACTAAGTAAGTAGATTAAACAGTTAACCCATCAATTATCGAGTAGATATTTACTAATTAGGTAAGGTAAAACACCGTTTATCCCAGTCCCAATAAGTCAGCCTATAGTCCGGTTGTGAGTTCACCCAAAACCTATCAAAAGTGTGTCCATCTATAGCTGATTCAGCAGAGTAGCTAGACTGTCTGTTGAAGTCGTGTCGTCTCTTGCCATAGAGCGTAGAGGCAAAAAGCTTCTTCAAGCCGATTTTTGGCACTTTCAGCACCAGCTGTCTTGAAGTATATTCAGTTGTGAAGAAAACAATCGAACCCAACGCATACTCCACACTTTGAGGTAGCACCGAATCTTAGTTTCAATCGCTGTGCTCGCTGTTCTGACGACTTGACGACGAGGCCAGGAAAAGATGCGGCCTGCGACAATTACCAGTTATCCTCTTTTGACTGGCGTACTACAATTGGCAGACAGTCAGACAAATACCAATGTACAAAAGATTCATACGCGCTCACAGATAACGAGCTGCTTCTGCCTGCAACCGTTTGCCGCTTAAGCACTCTATATATATCTACTCATAGCAGGATATATTTGTTGAAGGTCAGCATCGCAAACGGCGGACCTTTGAAAACGAGAACCTTTCGCCATCTCTCTACGGTGGGTACCGATGACCTAGCGCTTGAGCTGATGATTGCAAAGCCATCCGCCTCACAGAATCCTAATAGAGCTTCTAATATCTACCCGAAATTATTTGTTCGCCGGGATGACAATGCAGAGGCAGTCAGTAAGAGAAAACAAACAATATCAAAGAAACGCACTATGATTAATCACTTTGAAACCTGCCGGAACTATCTCTCTGTATATATATATATATATATATATTAGTAGACGAAATACTTTTCAAAGAAAAGCTATCAATATCTAATAAATAAGTCACAGTACAACGATACGTTCCTCGACACTATATACTGTTATGAATGCAGCAGCCTCGAATTGTGGTCAACTTGGCGCTCTCGACCCCAAGTTGACCACAATTATGCCTTAAACTCGATTCGTGTAACAATCCACAGTTTTCTTCACGACCCAGGTCGTTCATTTCAATTAATAATGGGAGATCAATTAGACAAGTCTCGGCTAGCTAAGTCGCCCACGTTGGTTAGGACCTGACCGCCGGAAGCAAACTGGGTCCAATAAACGATGTTCGTATTACTACTCATCTAAAAGGCAGTCCATTGGTCATCTCCATAGCACCAGACAACATCCCAGGGGAATCCGAATTAGCAAATCGGTCCCCTCCGCATTGACCTCATTCTAACAAATAGTCTCTAAAACTACCTCAGCAGCAAGCCGATGCCCCAATAAACTGACTTGACTACGGTAGCGTAACTGCAACCTGACCACATTATGGACACAAAGCAGGGAGCAACGGTCTACAGCGTCATTATTCATACCCCACATGAACACGACGAGATCAAATAAATCGACATAAAAATCTATGGACGAGGTGACAACTCTGTGAGGTTCATCGGAGAGTGCTCTGGGCTAGTTTGCTATACAACCTGGATAAAAGCGTCGGAAGTGATAATTATCATGGAGCCATGTATCCGAATAATCCCGATCCAGTCCATAACGGAGCATATCGTACTGAATTTTTTAATTGAATACTGAATGAAAAACTATTTACCCTGTTTTATCTTTACTTATTATTATATTGTTCCAATGATCGCCAAATTATCTTGGGCTTAGCTGACGCGCACTAAATTGAGTAAAAGAAGCCATTTTGTTAAGCTCTGGTGTTTTCAGTAAATCATTCCTTTTTTTTTTTTTATATGTCTTTTGACATTATTTAATGACAAGAAATGGGCGTGCTGTGTGCTTTAACTTTTTATCGATAGTACTCTCATGTTACCTGAGTATGTTAGTCCCATAAGCGTGACATACACCCTAAAAAAAAGTGAGTTTAAGCACCGCATAGACTATTCGGCGCTTCAACTCACTTTAGTTAGCAACATATTTGCATTTAGTCCCATACGAATAGGGCATCGTTCACACTGAGCGGGGATCCTCGGAAGCGGTAAGTTTACCTCAAGGAAATATGCGAAGCCTACTGGAACAGTTCTCTGCTGAAAACGTATCTCGTACAAAGCGCGTGGCCTAGATGACTCAAGTGACTTTGTCAGAACCTATTTCGTTTTGCGACAGCGGGCCTTGGCTAGTTTCCTATTAAAACTATGCGTTCCTAACTAGCCGGTTGCAAACAACGCAGTGATTGCTCTCTACAAAAAAGGGGAAAAGCAAACGAGTTTTGTGCATATTGAGCATCTATTGAGCATCCATTATATTTTCAAGTTCTCCGTATCTTTGTGTATACGCGCGCTCATATTTGTGCGAAGTGTCTGAGAACGCACGGCTCCTAGATCGACAAATATACCCTATCAGCCCAAGCTGATTTTCTCTATACGCCATCAGTCTAGCGTAATAACACACGTCATCAAGTGTATTAATAGGACAATGTTCGATTATCACTAGCGGCCTGCAACGTACGGGCACTACACCAACAGCTTTTGAATGAAATTTCTTATCAAGCAGATTTCGCAGTTCTAATCGTGTCAATATTCAATAAGTACATTTGTTTCTATTAGGTAAATGTAAAAGTCCGTAGTAATTTTTATCTTGATTGGGTTTACCTTTGACTGATACATCATAAGCGGCCAAGTCCACCTTAATTATTGGACGCAGAATCTCTTAGAATATAATCTTTGAAGTAACCGACCAGCCACTACGTGGACGATACGTTATAAGCGCTAACAAGGCCTGCGGATAGGAAGCCACGTTCTTCATGCCAAGAGATTGGTAGCGCGATGTACCTGACGTAATCGTTGGTCTCATTTGTGGGTCAAGGGATGCGTTAAAGTCTTTGAGTTTGGGTAACTTGTGGCCTAACTACTATTAGAAAATAAACTGCGGTAGTGATCAGAGGTGCCTTACAAGATAATGGAGATGAAAAGTTTCAGATATGTGTTGTCTAAGGAAAGGCGTAGTATTCGCTGTCACTTTCAAACAATGATGCGCTTTGACTCTGGTGCCATTGAAGTACTGCGATATAGTATGAGTTACTCCCGGATAAACTATTTCTGCGGCGAACACTACAAGAAGCACAACATTCTGAAGCAGTACTTAATGCTCAAAAAGCGTTAATGGATTGTACTAACCTGATGAACAGGTGAGCGGTAGCTACCTTTTTGGTAAAATCTTACCTCCGAAAAAACGCCGGTCGAAATGTTATGTCTAATCCAACTACCCTCTGTCAGACTATCACCTGCTTTGTTCCTTATCAAATCCACGCAAAATAATATTCGATGTCTTAAATAGTATAAAAACGTGTCTAGACGTACAATGCAGCTTTCGCTGGAAAGGTTGCTTAGAAAACAGTAGAGGCCCACTGATTTCCCTTCGTGTCACAGTGCATTCTTAACTGCTTCCCTGAACAAAAAATTCATAAAATTTCTGAAAAGCTGGCATTCTGAAATGTTTGTTCTATTCGCTTTGTGCACTCTTGCCCTAGGGCAAAAAAGAGCCGCGATTTCTTGCATCAGTTAATAGAGCTTTATTTTTTAGTGTTATAATTGCTTAAATCGCCTTAAATCCAATCTAAAGGTCAGGCCACTTTTGAACGTTCCATTGTTCTAAGCCTGGATTTTGTTTTTTTTTTCAACACTGAATAAGTGTGTGTTCGTTGGCCGATGCACGACCCTTGTCTTTCTTATACATTATCTATAGACAACTAATTAACACCCTCTTCTGTAGATACTTTCGGCTTCGACCGTAATAAACTCTTCGGCATACTATA